TCCAGCTCTACACCTTGTTATCTCAGATTCTCCAGCATCTGCAGTTCCTACTATCTCTGAAACAATTGTTAGAGGGTTGCATTTTCACTGTTACACACCCCACCATCTATTTCAGAGAAGAAAATAGTATTAATAGCTGTAGGTCAACATACTCAGGAGTGATGATTGAACAGGATCTGGTACACATGAGGACATTGTGAACAGAGGTATGGATCAGTGCAGATCTATAGTGGGTGCAAGCTAATTGGCCAATCGGAGGGCACTGGAAAAATCCAAGTAAAAGGATTATGCAATAGTCATGTCATCTTAAATTCATAATCTGTGGTATTTCCGAGAGGAGGATTACGGAAGTGATAGGTATAACTCACCTTACTGAGATTTGAATACAAATCCACTACACTGTTGCAGAACTTCTCCACATCTTGAGTTAATAGCTGGTCGGCATTTGCTATTCTGTTGTCAAGATTACCCATTTTATAATATGTATAACCTCTGTCAAAACAAAAACATTTTTGCTTCAGTGAAAAAAAATTTAAAATACTCATAATGTTAACTATTAATATGGTGGGTTCTAGTGGTTGATTAAAATTCCTCAATTTAATACATTGCATAACAGACTTTAGACTCACTTGGCTCCTTTATAATTGTTTTATTGTTAAGTTTTATAAATAGTACATACAGTATGACAGCAATAAGTAATTGATATACTTGAGCCATTGTTAACATACTGCCTGTGGTTTTTGGCAACCTATTTCAAAGCACACTTTCTACAGCTGCTGCCTAACACCAACACACTTCTTTCTCATACGCAGCCAGATTTTGGGAAACTGAGGGACGGCAGTTACTGAGTCAGTGACTTGTCTTACAGTGGCATTTAATCCAAAATTAGACCACGTTGCTTTGGCATAACTGCTACGTGGGCAGGATCTTTCATTCTGCAATATCAAAGAGATCATATCTGCCTACAGGTCTCAGCTGTGCTTTCTCAACAGTGATTCTGCTCCTATTACTATTAATGGCAAATTCAAACTTTTTAAGAAACGCTCCCGTATGTGATTTACCACAAAGTATATTACAGGTCAATGTCTCTAGGCTTTCACTGCACCTGTAGTTTATTCAAATAAGAGGGTAGCGAAGGGAAGCAATGCAGGGCAGAGGTTATATTGCAAAATTCAGTATAACCTCCCCTTAAAGAGATAGGCACATATAGCTACACACTACATGTTTAAACGTTTAATTCACCTTCTTCTGGATCACACTAAGGACAAAAAAAAAATACCTTGGATGTGATTTTAATAATACCTGCCTGGCAGGAACATGTCTTTTAAAAAAAAAAAGCTGCCACTCCATAGCAATCACACTGGTCATCATTCGAAGTACTTACACCAGTTAGATGGCTGAGGCACTTGTTGGAAGCAAATAGGAGCCTCATGAATTAATGCAACTCCGGATCCCAGTATATTGATGGTAGCCCTCTACAAAGGTTTTGGAGTAGATTTGTATGGATAAGGATGGATAAGGAGAATCACCAATTCAACTGGGACAACACCAAAATCCTGGGTCAAGCTAAGCAGAGACAAGCACGGGAATTCCTAGAAGCCTGGTACTCCACGAAGAAAGCCATCAATAAACACACAGAACTTGACTCCATATACTCTCCACTATGAAGGAAAACAGGAAGTGAGACAATCCAGCTCAACGGACTCCAGAGTTTAAAAACCAGGCAGGAAAACACACTGACGCTTCTTAGGAGGCTGCACTGATGATGTTACCCAGCAGGGTAATGAAACGTCTGCGGAACAACAAACCAGCTCGGTGAGCCAACCAACCTCAACGGTAGACCTCTACATTTTAACTCAGGTCTGAATGGGGAATCTGGCATGGTTTTCCCTGAAGAGCGAAGCAGGTCTGGAAGGATGAGGAGATCTTCCAAATTATGTTAAACAATTTCCTTTGTTGCAGCTTCCCTGCTCAGGGTTTTTCAGCACGCACCTCAAACTACATGATTTGCATTACTTCATGAGATCCCTGTCAGATTCCAGCAGGCACCTCAGCCAGTTAATTGCTGTTAGCAGGTAAGCTTCCTTTTGCCCTGGGCCCTCCAGGAACCTTCTCTCTAATGATATGCTTTTTCCCAGTGAGTCTATTTTGTTATTGGCTATTGCTTCAGACTTCTTGAACTTCCTCTTCAACCCAACAAATAACTGCTACTTTCCCCTCAGCTTCAGGCAACTATTTGCCTGACAGCGATGTAGATAAGACCTGAGAGTTAACATAGTCTGGAAGTAAGATTTGTGAGCTACTTTTGCACTTGCTGCCCTCCCCACTACCTCATTCCCCATTCCCAACTTAGGTGAAAAATTATTGCAGTTTAAAATCAATCTCTTGAAGGTGTTTTAAAACAGCATAGCTAGCAGTACGTGCAGTCGCTTTAGTTCATCATTAATTTTAAATGATATTTTTGTTTGATAATGGCCAATGATTAAAATTATAATATTAATTCAAACTCAAGGCTCATGATTATTTGACCTTTTACTTCTAAATCAATCAGAATACACAGACAAGACAGTTTTATTTAATAATTACTATATAAATTTACTTTACTGTTTTGTTCCAAAAGCTATTGACTTACTTTAAGTACTCCCCATACAGGTAGGTGGTGAGTCGTATTCTGAATCGAAGTTTTAGTTGATTCAAACCAAACTTCAGGAAATTATTTACCAGAGATATCTGAAGTAATACAAGTTACAAATTAGCATCACTAAAAACTGCACTTAGGAAGTACAACTTCTAATTTTGATTAACAAGAGTATCCTGAAAACACAAGCATCCAATCTTAATTTGGAGCCTTTACAGCATTTTTTACTCATTCATGGGATTGTGGGCGTCAATAGCTAGGTCAATATTTAATGCCCATCCTTATTTTTGATTTATTTATTACCATGCACATTTTGTTACAAAATACAGTGAAGTGTTGTATAGTATCGCCAATCTCCAGTGCCATCTTAAAACACAAAAAATAAATCAAAACATAGAATATAAAGATAGAAAAATAAAGAAATAAAGAAAAGGTGTTTAACTTTACAGTTCTTGTTAGATACTCCACCATGGGTCATGGGGCTGGTGGCCAGGCATGAGTCCTCTTCGCAGTGCTGCCGCTGGAACGAAAGTGTCCACTCTTCGGCACCATCTCGGGTCCATTGACACCCTCACCGGACATCGCCAACGCAGACACCACCGATGCAACCAGCGGCCCATACTCAACTCCATCACCACCATGAATCTGCTTTGGGCCCACCTCGATGATTCAGCCGATGCCGATACTGATGCTGCTCGGTATCGTACCAGGCCCAAACTCACCTCCACTGCCAAATCCATGAATCTGTGCTGAAGGCAGATGCTGCCAGGAATCCAAATTCTCCTCCACCACAGCAGCCATGAGTCAGTGCTAGGACTGTCTCATCGACGCAGAAGCCGCCAGGAACATAAACTCGCCTCTAACACTACCGCAAGTCCACACCTCTGGGCCTATGCAAGTCTGCACTAGGCCCCCTCGCTGTCGCTGATGTTGACGCCAGGACAGAGCTCTTCAACAAGGGGTAAGTAAATCAAAAGAGGAGAAAATAAAATCAGAAAGGACAGAGAGAGTGAAAAAAATGAAACAAAAAGAATAGTCAGAGCAGATGAGCCCCAAGCTCAGATGCGCTATCCCACTGCCATCTTACTGGAGATACTTGCCATGGAGGCGGTGGTGCACTGCCTTCTTGAACCACTGCAGTCCTTTAGGTGTTGAGATACCTACAATGCTGTTTGGAAGGGAGATCCAGGATTTTAACCCAGCAACAATGAAGTATCAGCGGCATAGTTTCAAGTCAGAACGGTGTGAGGCTCGTTCAGGAATGCACAGGCGGTGGTGTTCCCATCTGCTGCCCTTGACCTTAAAGGCAGAGGTCACAGGTTTGAAAGCGGTTGTTTAAGGAACCTTGGTGAGTTCCTGCAGTGAACACTGTAGATAGCACACACTACTGGCACTGTGGATCGGTGGTGAGGGGAATCAATGTTGAAAGTGGTGAATGGTTGTCAATCTAGCAGGCTGCCCTGCGCTGGTTGGTGTCACACTCCTTGAATGGTGTTGGAGCTTCACTCATTCAGGCAGGTGGAGAGTATCCCATCACAGTCCTGAAGCACGCCTTGTAGATAATGGTCAGAAATTCAGCAGACAGGAGATAGGTTGCTCACTATCCTAGCCTCCGAACTGTTCATGCAGCCACAGGATTTATATGACTGACCCAGTTCAGTTTCTGGTTAACAGAAACCCCAGGACACTGACAGTGGGGAATTCAGCAATGATAGTGCCACTGAAAGTCAAATGTTAAAGTCAGAGAGTTGTACAGCATGGAAACAGACCCTTCAGTCCAACTCATCCATGCCAACTAGATATCCTAAATTAATCTAGTCCTATTTGCCAGCATTTGGCCCATATCCCTCTAAACCTTTCCTATTCATATGCCTTTCCAAATGTTGTAATTGTACCAACCTCCAACACATCCTCTGGCAGTTCATTCCATATACACACCACCCTGTGTGAAAAAGTTGATCCCTAGGTTCCTTTTAAATCTTTCCCCCTCACCTTAGAACTATGTTCTCTAGTTTCAGACTCCTCTATCCTGGAGAAAAGACCATGTCTATTCACCCTGTCTATGCCCTTCAACCTCTGACGCTCCGGAGAAAATAGCCCCAGCCTATTTAGCCTCTCTCTATAGCCTTGTAAATCTTTTCTGAACCCTTTCAAGCTTAACAACATCCTTCCTTTAGCAAGGAGACCAGAACTGAACACAGTATTCTAAAAGTGGTCTAACCAATGTCCTGTAAGCCACAACATGACCTCCCAACTCCGATACTCAATGCACTGACCAATATAGGCAAGCATACCAAATGCCTTCTTCACTACCCTGTCTACTTGCAACTCCACTTTCAAGGAACTATGAACCTGCACTCCAAAGTCCCTTTGTTTGGCAACACTCCCCAGGGTCTTGCCATTAGGTGCGTAACTCCTGCCCTGATTTGCCCTATCAATATGTAGCACCTCACACTTACCTAGATTAAACTTGATGGTTAGATTCCCACTTTTTGGAGATGATCATTGTCTGGCACTCGTGCGACACAAATGTTATTTGTCATTTATCAACTTCAGCCAGACTGCTGTCCTCAGTATCTAAGGAGTCATGAATGGTGGAAATCAGAGAACATTCACACATCTGACCTTATGGTGGAAGAAAGGTCACTGATGAAGTAGCTAAAGAAAGTTTACAAAGTAGTTGGGTACTGTAGATACAGAAATGCCTGCAGTTACATTTGACTGTCAGTCCAAAGTTAGCTATCTGAAGCTATTGATATAACAAGCAACGGAAAAAAAAACTTACAGCTGGCATTGCAGCCACGAAGTTGAATAAATATCTCTTGAAATCTCTGGTGCTCCGGCCAATAATTGCACTGTAAATCAAGACATGCAAAGACAAAGATTAGGTCTCAATTTGTTCAAAACACACATACACTATTATTCCAAATATGGTTAGAAAATGACTGAATGAAATGCATGAAGGTCCTCAATCTCGCTTGTCTGCCTACACTGCTCTTTCAGCTATGGCAACTTGTTCCTTTCAAACTCTCATTGAATAATCTTCCAAAGAATCGAAATAGAAAAAGCAACCATTCACTCAATGTAGGGATCATGGATAACAACGTACAGGATCCCACTGATCAATGGCAGCAAAGTTGTCACTATATGTCCACTTTCCAAAATTCAGACTTCCCAGATTTATCGAACCATACAGCACAGAAACAAACTCATCCATGCCGACCAGGTTTCCTAAACAGAACAAGTCCCATTTGCCTGCGTTTGGCCCACATCCCTCTAACCTTTCATATTCATACACCTGTCCAAATTTCTTTCAAACGTTGTAACTGTACTCACCTCTACCAGTTCTCTGGCATGATGTGGACAACACTCTGCCAGTGTTGGACTGGGGTGGACAAGGTCAGAAACCACACGACACCAGGTTATAGTCCAACAGCTTTATTTGAAAAGTTTTTGAACCTCGCTCCTCCTCCAGGTGTTAGTGAGAGAGGTGGTATCAGAATTTTTAAGTAAAAGTTCAAAGGGTCACACCACTGACGAGGGTGTATTAAACAAATCTAAAATGCTGTCAGAAACTTCCAGTTTACCGGCTCCAGCCACCTCCTATTTACCATGGACGTGCAATCCCTTTACACGTCCATTCCCCACCAGGAGGGTCTTAGGGCTCTCCGCTTCTTCCAGGAGCAAAGACCTGAACCATCCCCAGCCACCACCACCCTCCTGCGCTTGTCCGAGCTTGTCCTCACCCTCAACAACTTCTCCTTCAACTCCTCCTATTTTCTTCAGGTAAGAGGGTACCCGCATGGGCCCTAATTATGCCTGTCTCTTCATGGGGTACGTGGAACATTCCCTGTTCCAGTCCTATTCCGGCCCCCACCCACAACTCTTTCTCTGATACGTTGATGATATCGTCGGTGCTGCTTCCTTCTCTCGTCTGGAATTGGAAAACTTCATCAATTTCACATCCAATTTCCACCCTGCCCTCACTTTCACCTGATCTATCTCCGACTCCTCCCTTCCCTTCCTCGACATTTCTGTTTCCATTTCTGGGGATAGACTGGCCACGAGTATCCACTACAAACCCACTGACTCCCACAGCAATCTGGACTGTACATCCTCACACCCCACTTTCTGTAAGGACTCCATCCCATTCTCCATTTCCTCCGTCTCCAGATGAGGCCAACTTCAACAAGGGAGCCTCCAACATGTCCACCTTCTCCCTCAACCAAGAATTCCCCAGCTCCGTTGTCAACAGGACCCTCAACCAGGTCCGACCCATCTCCTGCACTTCCGCCCTCACCCCTTCTCTTCCCTCCCGCAACAGCGATAGGGTTCCCCTTATCCTCACCTACCATCCCACCAGCATCCACATCCAGAAGATCATCAGACGCCATTTCCGCCACCTCCAGCAAAATGCCACCACCAGACACATATTCCCCTCCCTTGTCCGCCTTCCACAGCGACTGTTCCCTCCGGGACACCCTGGTCCACACTTCCTTCACCCCCAACACCTCCCCACAACCCTACAGCACCTTCCCCTGTAACCAGCGAAGATGCAACATCTGCCCAGTTACCTCCTCCCTCCCCAGTATGTAAGGGCCCAAACATACCTTCCAGGTGAACCAACACTTCACCTGCACTTCCCAGAATCTAGTCGACTGCATTCGCTGCTCACAATGTGGTCTCCTCTACATTGGGGAAACAAAGCGTAGACTTGGCGACCGCTTCGCAGAACATCTACGTTCTGCTCGCAAAAAAGACCCTGAACTACCTGTTGCCTGCCACGTCAACGCACCACCCTGCTCCCTGGCCAACATCTCTGTCTCTGGCTTGCTGCAGTGCTCCAGCGAAGCCCAACACAAGCTGGAGGAACAACACCTCATTTTCCGCTTGGGGAACCTACAGCCCTCTAGCCTCAATATTGAGTTCAATAATTTTAGGGCCTAAACTCTCCCACGTCCCAGCCCCCCACCCCTTGTTACCACAAAGCCTGCCATTACCTACCCCCTGTTGTTAGTCACTAACAGTCCCCATTAACAACTATTCACCCTCCCAGCCTAATTGTTAGCAACTCTTGTCTGTCCAACTGTCTCTCTCTCTCTTTGGCTCTATCCTATCGTTTACTCCCCACCCCACCCACCTCCCTATTTTCTGCATATAAACTGATGTTTTCCCAGCCACCATCAGTTCTGAGGAAGGGTCACCGGACCCAAAACGTTAACTCTGTTTTCTCCTTCACAGATGCTGCCAGACCTGCTGAGCTTTTCAAGCAACTTCGCTTTTGTTCCTAAGATGCTGTCAAATCTTTATTCAGTTAGAAAGTGACACGTAAATCTATGGGGTGGATTTGTATTTGCAGGTATGTCCTATTTTGTTCAAAAAGCACACAATTTATAGACAGTCGATGTGGCATTTTAAGAATTCCTACTTTAGAAATAAAATCAGTCTGACTCGAGACTAAAACACAAACATATTCTAAACAAGTCCTCACACCTAATATGCATTGTCTGACCTAAAACGTCACCTCTTCTTTACACAGATAAAACCTTTAGCTCTCTCAGGGCAGTGACTTGAAAGAAATTCAGGGATTTACACATACATATTAATCAATTAAAACCATCTAACTGAATAAAGAACATAGAACAATACAGCACAGGCCCTTCAGCCCACGATGTTGTGCTGAACTTTTACCCTAATCCTAACATCTATCTAACGTCCACCCCTACCTTATACTATCATCCATATGCCTATCTAATAGCCGCTTAAATGCCCCTAATGAGGCCGACTCCACTACCCTCTCCGGCAATGCCCCTACCACTCCGAGTAAAGAACCTACCTCTGATGTCTCCCCTATATCTACCTCCACTCACTTTAAAACTATGACCCCTCGTGATAGCTACCTCCACCCTAGGAAAAAGTCTCTGGCTGTCTACCCTATCTATACCTCTGATCATTTTGTACATCTCTATCAAGTCACCTCTCATCCTTCGTCGTTCTAAACAGAAAAGCCCTAGCTCTCTCAACCTTTCCTCGTAAGACCTTCCCTTCATTCCAGGCAACATCCTGGTAAATCTCCTCTGCACCTTTTCCAACATCTCCACATCTTTCCTGTAATGAGGCAACCAGAACTGGACACAATACTCCAGATGTGGCCGAAACAGGCTTTTATATAGCTGCATCATAACTTCACAGCTCTTGAACTCGATCCCTCTATTAATGAAAGCTAACACACTATATGCCTTCTTAACTCTATCCACCTGAATTTAACAGCATCTTAGGTTTGTTTAATACACCCTCATCAGTGGTGTGACCCTTTGAACTTTTACTTATAAATTCTGTAACCACCTCTCTCACTAACACCTGAAGGAGGAGTGAGGCTCGGAAAGCTTGTGTTTTCAAATAAACCTGCTGGACTATAACCTGGTGTTGTGTGATTTCTGACCTCTACTTCCTTTGGCAGTTTGTTCCATAAACGCACCACCCTCTGTGTCAACAGATGGTTTCTAGGTGACAATGCTTAACTCTCCACAAAAAGTGACTTGGCTATCCAGCCTTTATAAAAGCTGTATTCTAATTCCCATGGATTCTAGCAAAATATATTTGTTTTAAAAAGAATGTGTATCAACTACCACTGTAATGAATATTGAAATGAGCTGACTCAGGAAACACTCTGTTAAGGACCTCTCCAGACTACAGTTAGGTGAAAATTGCTTTTCGATGGTGTAAAGCAGAACAGCAGGCCTCGTGGAAATTCAGCCAATCTTATTTAAAGAGTCCTAAACAATTGGGAGTAGGTGGGATTGGATCAAAAATGAAGTTTATTCCGTGAAAAAACATTTCAAACCAACTGTTCCCATATTTTTATCCAGATAGATATGTAATGAACAGAGATCTGCAAACATACCTTTCAATCATAGTTCCATTTTGAATCATCCAGACATCACAGTAGGTTCGAGCAACAAGCATGACTGCAATGAGAATCAGGTATGCAGACTAGAATGAAAAAAAAACAAGGATATAAAAATATTAGCTTGATACAAACAAGACATCTTCCCTCCAATAGTTACAAAGGTTCATATCTTTGGTTGACCCTGACATCTTGCACATGGATGCCACTGTACATTGGTACCACAGGGGACAGTTTTTCCTTTAATTCCTCACCACGTGATCAAGTGGATACCAAGTTAATGCCACATGAGAGGGAATAGAGAAAAGGAAACTAAAATAAGCACAGTATAACAACTAAATTAGGGACTGCAACAGGAAATAGTCCACAGAACATTCTCCGTTCACCCCTCCTGGCTACAGAAAGACAAAGAATACTGAAGGAAACCAAAGAGAATGGAAAATTCATTTTCACTGCATCCAAACTTTGGAATAGAAGCATTGATTGATGTTTTAAAATTTGAATACTACACTACATGTACACATATGTTCGTTAAACCAAGAAATTGCCATAGAACCTGATCAATACTCCTTGAAGGTTTGGTAGGTTAATGCATTTTAGTACTATATTGAACGAAATAGAAAAGAGACAGATTTCAATTTTAATCTCTGGATTTGCTGGAGCTACTCGGGAGGGCTTAAGCTAGTGTGCCAGGTGCTTGGGTCCCTAAGCAGTAGTGAGACAACAGTGGGGTTCAGGTCGGTACAGAAGTTAAAGTGAGCAAGTTAAATAGACAAGGCAGGCAAAAGCACATCAGGGAACAAGGAAAAACTGATGAATTAAACTGCATTTATTTCAATGCAAGAGGCCTCACAGATAAGGCAGAATTAACTCAGGACATGGATGGGAACATAGAGCTGGGATATCATAGCTATTGCAGAAACACGGATGAGGGAGGAGCAGGACTGGCGGCTCAATAGTTCCAGGGTACAGATGTCACAGGAAGGATGGAAGGGGAGACAGGAGGAGGGGGAGTGGTGTTTTTGATTAGAGAAAATATCACAACAGTACTTAAGAGAGGATATTCCTGTGGGATCATCCAGTGAAGCAATATGGGTGGAACTGAGAAATAAGGGGGTGATCACTTTGATGGGATTGTATTATAGGCCCTCCCCAATAGTCAGTGGGAAATTGAGAACCAAAAATGTCAGGAGATCACAGGTGTAAGAATAATAGAGGTGTAAGAATAATAGAGGTGTAAGAATA